TTGGGTTTCAGCAGATCGAGGCGTGTACGCGGTCTCCTCCCCAACAGAAGTTCAGCTGGAGCTAGTCCAGTTGTACTCTGTGGAGTAACCCGGTAAGTAAGGAGAACCTTTGCTAGTCTAGCACTCATGGTACCGTCTTTGACCTTTTTCAGACCTCTCTTGACCGTTTGCACGGCCCTCTCTGCCAGACCATTTGAAGCAGGATGGTAAGGGGCTGATGTTGTGTGTTTGATACCGTTTGACCGGAGGAATTGCTCAAACTCTGAGCTGACAAAACAAGTCCCATTATCTGTGACCACCATCTCCGGCAGCCCAAACCTGGCGAAGAGTGATCTGAGCTCTTCAATGACACACAGAAGAAGACGTGGTCGGAGTGCAAACAGCTTCAATCCATTTAGAATGTGCATCCACCGCAATAAGGATGTTTTTGCCTTGGAAATGGACCCGCAAAATCAAGATGGAGTCTCGCCCAAGGTCTAGTAGGCCATTTCCACAGGTGAAGTGGAGCAAGTGGGGGTGAAGACTGTACTTGTTGACAATCATGGCAGAGGCGCACAGATTTTTCAATATCTGCACTAATCCCGGGCCACCAGACGTACATTCTGGCGAGGGACTTCATACGTGTTATTCCCGGGTGTCCTTCATGCAGCTCTTGCAGAACTGCTTCTCTGCCTGGTGGAGGAATCACTACACGTGTTCCCCACATGATACAGCCCTCATAGCTGGAAAGCTCCAAGTGACGTGACGAATAAGGTTCAAGCTCAGGATCCCCATCACTTGGCCAGCCCTGCTGAATGTACTGCAGAACTCTTGCCAACTTCTGGTCTCGTTGCGTCCAGACTTTGTTGTCGTTGGCACTAACAGGAGATTCATTTAGATGCTCAGCTAACAGCACTAGCTCAGGCTCCTCGAATACCTTCGCAGGCTGTTCCGGCAGTGTTAAGCGACTTAAAGCGTCAGCGTTTGCATGCGCTGTTGTGTTTCGAAATACCAGTCGATACTCGTAGTTAGAAAGAAACAAAGACCAACGTTTGATACGAGAGGATGCCTGCTGGGACGTAGCACGATATTCTTTCAGTAAACACAGCAGAGGCTTGTGGTCTGTCACCAGCTCAAAGGAACGGCCAAACACATAATCGTGAAATTTCTTTATGCCAAAAATACAGGCAAGACCTTCCTTTTCTAGCTGAGAGTAATTTCTCTCACTAGCTGTGAGCGTACGTGACGCGTAAGCTATGGGCCTCTCTGTACCGTCAGCCATCTTGTGTGACAGCACTGCCCCTAGACCGTAAGCTGAGGCATCACAAGCCAGAGTAAGCTCAAGAGCAGAGTCAAAGTAAGTGAGACACTTCTCGGAAGTAAGGAGGTCTTTTGAGGCAGTAAAGGACTTAGTTTGAGTAGCACCCAATTTCCAGTCAACATCTTTTCTAAGCAACTGGTACAATGGGTGTAAGAGTGTTGACAGGTTAGGAAGGAACTTACTATAGTAAGTAAGCATGCCAAGGTAAGACTTTAGCTTAGGCACTGAATTGGGTGTAGGGGCCTCTTTGACTGCACTGGCCCCATCCGGCAGCAGGTGAAGACCATCGGCATCTATTCTGTGCCCTAGGTACGTCACCGAGGACTTCATGAACTTAGCCCAGCCCTGTCTAGACGGCTCAAAACCTCCTCAAGTGTCTTGAGATGTGCCTCTTTAGAAGCACCAGTTATGAGGATGTCATCAAGATAGACAACTACACCATCTATGCCCTGGAGGATGCTCTCCATGACACGCTGAAAAATGCCCGGGGCTGACGAGATACCGAACGGCAATCTCGTGTACCGAAACAATACCCGATGCACGTTAATCACAACATACTTTTTAGAGTCCTCCTCTAAGGGAACCTGTTGGTATGCCTGACTCAGATCTAATTTAGAAAAGTGCTTTCCCTTGCTTAGCCTCGCAAAAAGGTCCTCAACCTTTGGGATCGGGTATCTGTCCAACTTTGAAACCGGGTTGACAGTGACACTAAAATCACCACAGATACGGACAGTGTTCCTATCCCGTTTCAAGACAGCGACAATGGGAGCAGCCCACTCGGCAAACTCCACCGGTTCTATGGTACCCTCTTCCTGGAGGCGTTGTAGCTCTTTCTCTACATTTTCCCTCAATGCATAAGGAACAGAGCGTGCAGGGTTGAATCTAGGTAGTGTGTCAGGCTCAACATATATCTTAGCCTTAAAACCCTTCAGGGTCCCAAGGCCTTCCTGGAACACACCCGGATACCTAGACAAGACTGAGTGTAGTGAGGCATTGTACACCTGGTTTATCTGTCTCCAGTCTAATTGAACATGACTCAGCCAATCCCTACCCAGAAGGGAAGGTCCAGAGCCACCCACAACAACTAGTGGTAATTCACACAACTGGCCATTGTAATCTACGTTTACATTGGTACAACCCACCACCGGGATGGTCTCTTTGAGGTAGGTCCGAAGCCTCACAGATGAAGGTTGCAGGCTCCTTCCAGGCCACAGAGTCTTGAAGGTGTTTTCTGACATCAAGGAGACTGACGCACCCGTGTCCACCTCCATATCCACCACACAGTCATCTAGCTTGATCTTGACCATGATCGGAGGAGCGTCCGCTTTACTAGACTTGGCTTGGTTGAGAATTTGCAGGATAGCAGAATCGTCTGAATCCTCTTTCTCACTCTCTTCCTCTCTCTCCTCCTCATCTCGAACTTGACCGATAGGCTTAGACTTGCGCTTGGTCTTGGATGATGAAGACCGGCCCTTGGACTTGCAGGCTCGCTGCATGTGGCCTCGCTTGTGACAATTGTGACACTCAATGTTTCTGTCCACCTTGCAGCTGGAGGAAGTGTGCCCCTTGCGACCACAGCGGTAGCAAGTGAGGGGAGTATCTGAGGAGTGCCCAGCTAGAGATGCGCCTGAGGTGCTCGTCTTATGCACCTCCTGCGGGAGACGTGCAGAGGGACCGCTCTCTGCCTTGACTCCGATTTCCCGCATACTCTGTGCAGCCGTTTCTGCAGAAAGCGCAAGCTCCACGGCCTTCTGATACGTCAGGCCTAACTGAGCGAGGAGTTGCTTCTGAATTGCTCGATCGTTCACACCGCAGACCAAGCGATCTCGAAGCATGTCGTCCAATGTCGCGCCGAAGTTGCAGTATTCCGACAACGAACGAAGTTCGGCGACGTAGGTAGCGATCGATTCGCCTGCCTTCCGCACACGAGAATGAAACTTGAATCGTTCTACAATTTCCGAGGGAGTAGGCTTGAGGTGCTTCGACAAGGCCGCAACGAGCTCCGCGTACGTCTTCTCTCCCGGAGAGACAATGTTGCGAAGAGTCTTGTAGGTCGCTGCTCCCACGACCGTGAGCAGGACAGCACGTTTCTTGTCGGCGTCGTCGATGCCGTTGGCCGCGAAGAAGTGCTCCAGGCGTTTCGACGTATTGCAGCCAGTCGTCATTCGTTCCGTCGAACTCGTCCACTCGACGGAGAGTGCCGGCAGCCATATTCCGTCCTCGTCGCCAAAATATGTCGTGTCCTCGTAGGTTCAAGTAACACAGTCTAACAGTCTGCACACAGTAAGAGAGTACGCTACTTATATAGCTAAAAATCGGAAACGGAAATGAAGTAAAAGTGACGTCACGAGAGTATTTAATGACCAGTCAATGCATATCAATACATATCTATGACATATCTCCACTGTGAGAGGACAGCGGAGCGGCCATGGCCTGTAATCCCCGCCGACTGCTCCCGCAGTCGACTGGATGCGGAAACTGCGCATGCGCGGTTGACTCGCAAGCGGATGAGGCCTATATACCCCCCTGGACGAGGAATCACAAAGGTGAGAAGTGTGAGCATGGCACAATTTGGAAGTGGTACAATTTGGAAGTGAGAAGTAGCACGATTTGGAAGTGCACACAGCCCCAATGGGCTTCCGTAATAAACCTGCTCAACCTCACTGACACAGATTGCCAGGGGCTTGTCTCTCCATCTCGTATATCCTCTCTATCCCCTCGTTACTTGAAACTAACGAGGCCACGCCGTAGATTGTATCGGTCGGTATGGCAACGACTCCACCTCTCTCAGAGCAGCAGATGTTTCTTGCAACACTCTTCTAGAGTTAAGAACAAAGTCACACTCACATACATTTACAACAGCTATATATAGTTTCACGCAAACAACCAGTAAAATTGATAAATTGATCAGTAAGGATACTTTCCTGACCTCTAGCTACACCTATGTAGCAGTATAGCTATACCAGAGATCTCACCTGGTCTACGTTCTCAATACTGAGGACCCAAGCCATACCGAGTGACAATGACGAGCTGCCCGCCACTCTTGGGAGACCTCCGAGTCTTCTGAGACCAACCAGTCCACACTACATGACGCCAGGAGCAGGCGCATCAGAGGAGCTTACACTGTTAAAAATAATTATGGTGTTATCTAACACCCCATTTTCTGTACCAAAACGGGCAGGGTGTATTGGAGCACCTCAAGGGTGTTCATTACGCTTAAGTAGGTGTTTACTAACACTCTTGGGGTGTAGAGTAAACCATGGCACATTCTAGTGCTCACCACAACACCTAAGGGTGTAATCTTACACTGACCCAGCACCTATATCACAACTTCCTTTATATGCCTTGTGCATTGTTGTTTGTTCATAGGACGCAATGTCAGAAAATTTCATCATCCCATATCACATTCTCTTCACTGTTTTATTATTGTTATTGTTTCACACACCGGTAGGTGCAAGAAAGAGAAAGTGATTAATTAAGAAGAATTGATGATGGAGATAAAATTTGATCCTCAAAAGGAGAGTGAATACCATGAAGATGTCTTTAAAAAATATTGTGCTGGAGACATTGTGCATCATAGTCACTGTAAAAAGTTTAAATGAGAATGAGAGTAAACAGACGAGTCACACCCACTGCGCATGCGCGTCGAAGCTTTACCATCCTGCACGCCCACGTACACACCGGTGGTTAGTGTTCGCGCTCATTTTCAAATGCAAGAAGTAGACTATCTCTAGCTCTATGGCTGTGTTTTTGGCGACTCTAGCTACAGTATTTAAAGGCTTTCTGGAGCCCAAGACCACCATCAGACGAATACCATGGCTACGAAGGCCGCGATAGAAGATTTCGATGTAGCGTCACCCCGTCGAAGTAAACGTAAGGACTGATCATAGCTACGTAGCTGCTAAGATGGCACTGAATTGTTTTAGACTCCAGCTACTCCGAGCCCAGTATCACAGCCAGCAGCAGCAGCACCAGCGATGGGTACTACAGCCTGGGTTAGTGCTTGTGTTCCTGACGTTTTCTCCAGACGGACGCGTGAGGGAATTGAGAAAGGAGAGAGTACGAGCGGCCAGCATGTATAACTTTGTTACTTCCAGTACCAGTATGGCAGTCGAGGGGAGAGAAGATCAGAACGATAGGGCTGAAAGTGAGTCATGCAATCGGTATTTTCAAAAGAATTAATAATGGTTACAAAGAGTAAGGAGTGGTATATAAAAAATTGCTGAAGAAAATTGACAGGATTTATTGATATCTGCCAAGATTGGTAGAATTATATCTTTGCGTCACAAACCAATAGGGATGCCCTTTCAAAGCAGCAGGAAGAAGTCAATTCATTTCCTCCTGATGCATAATGGTGAGCATACATGGTACTGTACACTTCCTTCTCGTTGGCCAAGTGAGTGTGAAAATATAATTTATATGCCAGTATGTATAGTGGTATTGGAGGTGCATGCATACATCTTTCTTCCCACTTCCCAGGATTACAGCTGCTGCATTCTTTGGAGCATTACTGCATCGACGTTTCGGCCGCTCGTGCCCAATTCGCGGGTGAAGACGAGAAGCAAATAATGATCTCCGCGCGATTGAGAAACTGACGCGACTTTCGGCACCGAATGGTGGGAGAATTCCATCTTCGTCTTGACTCGTGCAAACGCGCAGGAAGCGTTGCTGAAAGTGAAGCCTGACCTTGAGAAGAGGTTCAACGAGAGGATAAAGGATTGGAGAGACAGGATCCATGCCACGCTGCTAAAAGAAGGCGTAAGAAAGGGAATTGTTAACGGAATACCGGTAGAGCCAGCCGGTCACATCAAGAAGCCTCATCTGCCGGGCCGAATGTACTGGCTCAGCGCACTCTGGATCATCTTTTTGAACCGGGCAAAGGAATGCTCCCAGCCGCTGATAACAAAGGCGAATCTACATCGATTGAAGAAAGAAAGCGAGGTGAAGGAGGAGGATTTCCAGAAGGAAGGCCACGAACAGCCCCTCGTGATAGATCACACGACGTGGATCTGTGACGTGCTGAAAGGCGGCGCCGTTGGTGCTCAAACTGGCGCTGCGGTTGGGGCATTGGGCGGCATCATTGGCGAGCGGGAGCGAGCTAACCTAGTGGTCCAAACGGCGCGATTTTTCTACGACCGCGTACGTGTCGTGTAAGTGCGCATGCTCCAGGATTACGCGCTTCTTTTTATCCAAAATTATTTCAAAATTTCACATGCTGCCTGATGATGTGTCGTGCGTGTGTGTAGCTCCGTACTCTCGCATCAGTCTGAGAGGATGCCATTCGTCGTCGAAGAGGGAGAGAAAGATAACATCGTGTCAGTGAGACTCCTGAGCAGGGAACGCGCATATTCTTTACACGCTGCCTAGCTGTCATATCGATGCGAAATCTCAGCGAAAGAACTCTCGTCTATTCGCTGGCATTCGCTGCGCTCTTCAATACCTGACCGAGGCTGTATATACCTCTTTCCAATCTTCGTGGTTCTAATTTTCAAGCTGTAAATAGGCTAGATGGCTAATGCAGATACAGTCATTGTGTGCTCGCTCCCGCTCGCCAAAAATGCCATGCATTCGTCTATTAGTAGGGAGTGTAGTCGGCGGCGTCGTTGGTGGAGCCGTCGGAGCTGGTGCGGTTCTTCTCACTAAACTCTGGCACTACAAAAAAATCTAAGAAACAATGGAAAAAGTAGCTCAAAACAGTTATTGGCGAGCGGAAGCGAGCTAACCTGTGGTCCGAACGGCGCGATCTTTCTATTGGCGAGCGGGAGCGAGCTAACCTAGTGGTCTGAACGGCGCGATTTTCTATATACGACCGCGTACGTCGTGTAAGTGCGCATGCTCCAGGATTACGCGCTTCTGAAACGATTTCAAATTTCACATGGTGCCTGATGTGTCGTGCGTGTGTGTGTAGCTCAGTACTCTCGCATTAGTCTTGAGAGGATGCCATTCGTCGTCGAAGAGAGAGGGAAAAAGAACATCGTGTCGGTGAGACTCCTGAGCAGAGACGGTTGTGTGGTAGGGAACGCGCATATTCTTTACACGCTGCCTAGCTGTCATATCAATGCGAAATCTCAGCGAAAGAACTCTCGTCTATTCGCTGGCATTCGCAATACCTGGCCGAGGCTGTACCTCTTTCCAATCTTCGTGGTTCTAAGGTTCAAGTTGTAAATAGGCTAGGATGGCTAATGCAGATACAGTCATTGTGTGCTCGCTCCCGCTCGCCAAAAATGCCATGCATTCGCCTACTAGTATGTCACCGTACGTTGTCGAGCGTTGCCGAACTGCGCATGTCACCGTACGTCGTCGGTACGTCACCCACCCCTCAGTAGGCTCCACCCCTGATAATTTGTGAGCGTGTGAGGAAAGGGAAGGAGTTATGGATCGGTCTAGAGAAGATACTCTTCGTCGAGAGGGAAAGAGAACGTCGTGCCAGTGAGTCTCCTGAGCAGAGAGAAGCTCGGCTTTCTCAACGCCGATTGCGTGAGCGGGAACGGGCAACGCCGGGCAACAGAAACAGCGGAGGAAAGGGAAGCACGACTAGCGAGAGGTCGTGTACGATCAAGAGCTAGACGCGGTGCAGAATCCGAGGAAGCAGGCTCCAACAGCTTCAAAGCTATCAGGCACGCCAAATTGCTGCCGAGCCCAGTGAGGAGAGAGAGGCCCGCTTACAGCTGCTACGCATTTGTAAGCTCGCTTCCGCTCGCCAAAATACCATGCATTCGCCTACTAGTATTTTTTTCCTGTATGATGCGGTCAATATACGTACGTAGATATCTAGATGTGCAAAATTTTTGCCGCGCTAAATTTTATACCGGATATAGAGTGGAGAATATAAAATCGTTCACTAGCGTTGAGCTGTACCATAATACGTAGGTTGAGGTGAAAGATAACCGACATCTGCTGGAGCTAACAATAATCTACGATGAGGCCATAGTCTCTGACATCCTTCACCACCCACCACAGGATAGATGGCCCCCACCTCAAACTCCTGTCAGTAGCAACACACACATAAATACAGTGGAACATCGTTAATATGATCTCCAGGGGACCATCAAAAATTGTTCATATTAACAGGAATTTACACTATAACAGTTGCTAGTTGTATTAGCCATAATATAATGCGTGGGGATTTAAAAGTGGTTGATATATATTAGCCAAGTATTTTGCTTTCACAGTGTTCATATAAACGAGGTTCCACTGTACATGACATGATGAGGCACAAAAACATAGTGAGTGTATATATCTCAGGAGAGGAAAGGGGTATCATTTCTTAACAGTCTTTTTAACACCGAACACTGCAGCTAGCTAACCGGATGAGCAACAAGAAACGGATTGAGATCCTCGTATATAACGGGGACGTCAGGAGTCGGAAAGTCTACTCTTGTAAAATGCTCTCGCAGGAAAGTCTGTGGCGAAAACTGGCGACCAATTACTACGCGACGGGTCGAAGAAAGTGACGGATTACCGGTGGACTTCGGAGGAAACCGGCGTAGAGTTTGTTGTGTGGGAGACACCTGGTCTTGAGGACGGCTCGGGAAATGAGTACATCAACGAACTCAATAAGAAGTGCGGCAATGTCAATGTTGTTATCTATTGCATGGACCTCTCGGCAACTCGCTCGTACGGACTAACGGCTGCAGAGATAGCGCCGAACGATCTCTCGGCAATAAAGACGCTGACCGCGACTTTCGGCGCACATTGGTGGAGGCGCTCTATTTTCGCTATGACGCGCGCGAACGTGCTGGAACGGACCCTGAAAAGTGAAGCCAGATTTCGAAGAGAGGTTCAACGATAGGCTGCGTGATTGGAAGCAGCGAATTCATGCCACTTTGACCGGAACCGGCGTGCCAAAGGAAGTTGATTACAAAATACCGGTAAAGCCAGTCGGACATCCCAGGAAACCGCGCCTACCAATTGGCTCGGTGATCTCTGGCAAGTTATCAGTAATAAATCTGCAACGCAGTCGCTACCATTAGAGCACGTATATGCACCGCGTCAGGCTAGAGCTGGAGAAGACAACCAGGGACGGTGGTGTACCATTATTATGAGTGTTTTAAAACACAGTGACTCAGTTCCAGCTACGTACCGTTGATTATAATGAGTTTGGTGACAATGACTTTTTGGTATGCAAGTGCTCGAGCAGTCAACTAGCCTCGCAGAGCCATTTAGAAGGCGTGGCTCCGCGAAGCACGCCCCCGCGCGCGCATGCGCAGCGAGGGTTGCATAAGCATGCATAAGTGACTGTGCAGCGGTAGGTAAACTTTTCCCGCACTTCTCTACAAGATTGCCTCCCTATCATGAAGCCAATCATGTTCATTACTCTTTGATGAATTTTTGCTGTGTCTGTGTATTGGTGGAGGACAGGGGGGTGGAGGGTGACTTCTGGTTTTCTTTTTTTCTTTTTTCTTTTTTTCTTTTCTATTCTCTGTGTCTAGTATGCTATAAATATACTTTTCATGAATTTCAAGCAGGACACTGAGATCAGCCCAAAAAATACCTACATAGTATATAGCTAGCTAGCTACATGTATATATAAACAAAGTAAAGTGACTAATGTCCTCTCTTCTCCAGTAGACGGACAACATCAGAGTGTCCATAGAGTCTGGCAGCATCAATTGGTCTCCTTCCCTGAATGAATGATGACAGATGACTTTAGTTAGTGACCAGCAATAATGATGATCAGTTGGCATCACTGATTTTACCTGGAATCCAGTTAGGTTCACATCTGCTCCATTTGCTAGCAGGATATTCACCACATCGCTTTGTCCTTGTTGACATGCCATATATAGAGGTGTCGACCCAGTCTGTGAGAAAAACAGAAAGCCATGATGGTAAATTAGCAGTTTGCTATAATTATAGGCCATTTCAGAAGCAGGAGATAATATGTTCTGTGTCACTGCCACCATTTAGTCTTAGTCTTGTTCCCAGTCTCTCCTCTCTGTGCACAATTTCACCTTCGAACCTCCTCCAGTCATACATTAAAACTGAGTACGGAGATGGAGAACCTGGGAACAAGGCTAATTATGTCTAGTCATTTAGACTATGCCATGTCAGGCAGAGGTGAATGTATTGCTCCAGTACGTGAGACACTTAGCTACACCTTTCCTTACATCGAAGCAGTATGATTCTAGAAGTCCCTAAACAGTAGATATCAATATCACTAGGAATGAGAGAGTAATATGAGATGTGTTTTCAAGGGAACCTTAACCACTCCCCAGGAGAAGGCACACTCTGCAAACACTAATGCTTCAACCTTTGGTGTACTTGGTCCCATCTATAACCTTGTCGGCAACCATACTCAGTGGTCTGTGTTTGGGACTGAAGAAGGGTGGTAGAATATTATGTCCCATAAAAATCAAAAATGAGAGAGGATGGGTAGGACAACTAACTGTAAAGTTAGATGTGACTGACTGCACTGGTACAGTAAACAACTGAAGATTGTCATGCAGTGACTGATGATTGACTTACGTTCATAGCTCTATCCACACCAGCTCCATTCCTCAGTAGGATATCCACCACTTCACTGTGTCCATTTTGACTGGCAATGTAGAGAGGAGTCGTCCCATCCTATGGGGAAGAACAATAAACTGAATAGTTTAGCTAGATCAAACCACACCGTGCAACTCGAAGAAGGTTGGTAGAATAATAATTATGTTAATAGGATGAGAGAGGATTGGTAGGAAAAGCAACAGTAAAGAAGTAACATAACGCAAGCAACAAGTAATTCTGAAGTTTGAAGAGAGAAGAAGACTAATATCCAGACGAGGGAGAGAATTCCATAGTTGAGGTGTACGAATATTTTTTGTTGTAGTTCGTGGATACTGTGTGCTTAAGCCTAAACTTGGAGCTTGATCGAGTATGATGAGCACTGAACTGCACAAAATCAAAGATGTTAAAGTGGTCCGATTGGTATAATATACCTTACAGACTCGATGAAAAAGATTATGTCAGCAATTTCTAGTTCCATCATCAAAGGAAGAAGTTTAAGATGAATGACAACGATTTAGATAGTCCGTGGAAGTATTATTGACTATATATGAACTTAGTCGCCCTCCTCTGAAGTAGCTCAAGGCATTTTAACAGCAGCCAATAAGTAAGGATGCCACACAGGAGAACAATAGAGCAGCTGAGACCTTACAAGAGAAATGTACAAGGAATGTTTGGCATATTCGGCCATAGAACTAGAGAAGACTCTGCATAAGACGCCAAGCATTTTGTAAGCCCTAGATGTTATTAACTGGTAGTGGGGGCACCAGTTCAAATCAGCTGATACAAGTAGACCAAGAACTTTCTGTTGAGGTTTGGAAAAAAATGTTTCAACTATAAATTATAATTAAACATTAGAGGAGGGCGTCTAGTAGAGCTAGTAAAATGGACAGCAGATCACTTTTCCTCATTCAGTGACATGCTCCAGGTGCTACACCACTCAGACAGCATTGTAAGATCATTCTGGAGAAGTGTGCAATCACGCCAGGAAGAAATAGGCATCACACACTTTGCATCATCCGTGAAGAGTAACATCATAGATTTTTTTCAAGAACATCCGGCAGATCAAAAGATGAGAAAGAGTAGTGGACCAACAGGTAAAGTATTTGACACAGATTGGCCAACTACGGTGGCCGACAAGTGCCATCCTTCCAATTTCCATAATTTTCCAAATTCACCTCCCATTTTCCATTTTTACCTCCACTTTCTGTTCGCCATCACACGCTGCGCACGGTCGGATGATGCTTGGCCCCTACGGCTCATCAGAGAATCTTGGATAATGGACGCACACAGAAAAAGACATGCACCGGGATGATGCAAAGTGTGTGATGTCTATTTCTTCCTGGCATGATTGCACACTTTGCTTGAAATGCTGTGTGTCCATTCAAAATGTATAGGCATGGTGCTTCACAGGTAAGCACAAAAAAGAGGGATTTGGCAATTTTCTTGTGGGATAGTTTGCTTGATTACCAAGCAAAAAGCTGGATGCTTGGTATAGGTATGCGACCGCGGTAACATTTTTATTGGGCTATACAGAACATACCTTGATCTCTACTAAGAGCAGGTTCCTCGCTGTCATCTCCACTGTGAGAGGACAGCGGGGAGGCCATGGCCTGTAATCCGTGCCGACTCCTCCCGGTAAACAATCACCGCTCGCTGCGGAGGCTCGTGCAGTCGAGTGGATGCGGAAACTGCGCATGCACGGCTAACTCGCGAACGGATGAGGCCTCGGATAAAAATCACAACGGTGAGAAGGGTGAGCAAATTCAGTAGTGGCACAATTTGGAAGCGGTACAATTTGGCAGTAGTACAATTATTTTGGAAGTAGTGAAATTTGGATGTGGTACAATTTGGAAGTGAGAAGTAGCACGATTTGGAAGTGCGCACGGCCCCAATGGGCTGGCACGATTTGGAAGTGCGCACGGCCCCAATGGGGCTTCCGTAGAAATTCCATAGTTTGTAGAGGAGTTCATTGTGCACCACTGAATCAATGGCCTTTCTAACCTTAGGAACATACAATGACATTGCTAAGACTTGATAATATATATACTCAATGTCAGAAGCAGGAGATAATATGTTCTGTGTCACTGCCACCATTTAGTCTTAGTCTTGTTACCAGGCTCTTCTCTTCATGCACAATGTTAACATGTGACCTTTGAACCTCCTCAAGTCATACATTAAAACTGAGTACGGAGATGGAGAACCTGGGAACAAGGCTAATTATGTCTAGTCATTTAGACTATGCCATGCCAGGCAGAGGTGAATGTATTGCTCCAGTACGTGAGACACTTAGCTACACCTTTCCTTACATCGAAGCAGTATGATTCTAGAAGTCCCTAAACAGTACATATCAATATCACTAGGAATGAGTAATATGAGATGTGTTTTCAAGGGAGCCTTAACCACTCCCCAGGAGAATGCACACTCTGCAAACACTAATGCTTCAACCATTGGCGTACTTCTATAATCTTGTCGGCAACCATACTCAGTGGTCTGTGTTTGAGACTGAAGAAGGGTGGTAGAATATTATGTCCCATAAAAATCAAAATGAGAGAGGATGGGTAGGACAACTAACCGTAAAGTTAGATGTGACTGAATGCACTGGTACAGTAAACGATTGAAGATTGTCATGCAGTGACTGATGATTGACTTACTTTCAGAGCTCTATCCACACCAGCTCCATTCCTCAGTAGGATATTCACCACTTCACTGTGTCCTTTTCCACTGGCAATGTAGAGAGGAGTCGCCCCATTCTATGGGGAAGAATAATAAACCGAATAGTTTAGCTAGATCAAACCACACCGTGCAACTCGAAGAAGGTTGGTAGAATAATAATTTTGTTTATGTGATGAGAGAGGATTGGTAGGACTATATAGTAACAGTAAAGTTAGATGTGACTGACTGCACTAGTACAGTAAAGACTGAAGATTGTCATGCAGTGACTGATGATTGACTTACGTTCATAGCTCTATCCACACCAGCTCCATTCCTCAGAAGGATATCCACCACTTCACTGTGTCCATTTTCACTGGCAATGTAGAGAGGAGTCGCCCCATTCTATGGGGAAGAATAATAAACTGAATAGTTTAGCTAGATGAAACCACACCGTGCAAATCGAAGAAGGACAAAGACCGAGTAGAAGTAAGTATTGAATAGGCTAGCTTTGTCGACATGTTGTGTTGCAGCAAAGGAATCATCCAGATTAACAGTATTATGGTATAGTATTCTGACATTCATTCAGTAAGCAGACAGTGACAGTGAGTAGGTAGTCAGGATTGAGGGGGATTAGTGTTAGAAGGTGCAGCATGGGTAGCTAGGTGTCAACACTACCAGAAGATGTAACTTTAAGACATGTGTTATTCACAGGTGGTGTTGTAAGTTTGTCAGACAGTGAGGTGTTTTGAAGAGGAATATCAGACTAGTTGTCGTGCTGAACTGTAACTAGGACTGCCAGGCTGACTTAGGTAGCATGCTAATATTATGTCCGTGACTGGTTTTAATTATGTATTTTGGGAAACAAACCTTGTCTCCAGGATCCCCTTTCACATAATAATACTCGTTCAATGCATGCATGTTACCTTTGACCACTGGCAGTGAAAAGATGCCAACTGGTAAAAGATAAACTGTACAACTTTCATGATGAAGCTACAAGTCTCATCAACTCATTAGACACCAAAAGGCTGGCACATTACTGGGGCGTCGGACGACAGCCGTACCACTTTTGCCTGGACTCGCCACCAATTTAACTTCTTGGCCTAGTGTAGGAACCCAGCTAGGTCTTTACAGAGCTAGGGCCGCATAAAAGCGGCACGCACAGCTTTCATCCCGCCCCTTTGTACACGCACATACGTCGCAGAGAGCCATACCACTTGCCTGAACCTTTCGACGCCCCTGCATTAAGATAAATTTCGATATTGGCAGTGCCTTTGGTATGCCTATGCATCGTGCTACAAGTCATCTTAGCAAACCAATACTCTGCATTACTGAGGGATAAAATGGCACATACTGTTATCTGTATGTCCAGTTGTGCCCCAGCCTCAATCAGTAGTCTCACTACATCAGATTTGCCATTTTGAGCTGCCATGTGAAGAGCTGTGGAACCTAACTGTAGATATGAGAGGAGAGATATTTTCTTCAGAAGTTAAAGACATCAACCAGGCGTGGCTATATATACACAGGCCCAATGTATAGGAGTTCCACCCGGGAAAAACATTCTGTGATGGCTATAGTCATCACAGCATACTTCCACGTAAGTGCAAAAATGTGACAGGTATTTACGTCGTGAAGGGACCAGTCTCTCTCTTCTCACAATGTTTACAATGGATGCATTTGATGTGCCCTTGTCTCAATGAGTGAGCTACATTATTGTGTATTTCCGTACTCAAATAAATTCAACACCAAATTGGTGATAGTCATAAGTACCTATACCTTCTTTCCACAGTTTACACAGCTAGTTTATAAAGGATGGTTACAGATTCTAGAATGTTCTCGAAGGTGTACATAGAGATGTTAAAGCTGTATGAAGTCACACAAGTATTTACATTGTGGGTAATTGTCAGTAATTGTGAGTGGAGCCTGAATTGTTCTAGGGTAAGCGTAAGACAGTTCGGCATCTTTGCAACCTTGTCACACAGGTGTATAGCTAAAGACATGTGAATAGTCATCACTGCATACACTCACAATGTGCAACAATGTGATTGAGAGATGGAAAATACCTCCTTTTCTTGTATGTTGAGCTGAGCCTTGGCCTCAATCAGTAGTCTCACAATTTCACCATGTCCACCCAATGATGCTGTCATCAGTGGAGTCCAGCCATTCTGTGAGACGGTGAAACAGATTGGACATCTGATGGAACACAGTCACACTGTACCTACAGGATATGGTGTACAGTTGATGTTGACATTAGAGGCCAGAAGTCTTCTCACTGCAGACACATCTCCATCACGAGCAGCATCATACAGAGCTTTCTCATCCTGCAGACATCATGACAGTACATGAATCACATCAATACTTGTGAGAAAATCCTGAACCATTGATAGTGTACCTACAAAAAGATGGCTAGGTTGTGATGCATTGTGATAATACAACTCTCCCCACCTGGTCCTCTGCCTCACTGCCTGTGTCGGCCTCAGCTGTCTTGAGCTGCCCCAGACTCTGGCAGAGCTGGGCAGCACTGGGTCTGTCTCTAGGTCTGTCCTTGAGGCAGTGGAGGGCAGTGGGCAGGAGACCATGGTCGGGAGGAACCTTCCCTATGTCTCTCTGACGTCGCTGTAGTTCAGGAACGAGTGTGACTCTTTGCCCGGTTGGCTCTGAGTCATCCTCCACCACTATCTCAGCATCTGTGGGTGTGGGGAAGCAGCGAGTGATGATCTGAACCGTTACAACACCCAGAGAGAAGGTGTCCAGCTTGTCGGAGTAGCGAGGCTTGGCACGCAGGGCCTCTGGAGGCATGAAGACAGGTGTGCCGGGGCACTGGGTGATCTTACTGCGAGTCATGCGAGGATTGGCCTCCACCATCTTGGACATGCCAAAGTCGGTCACTTTGGCCTGACTGCCTCCTCCTCTCAGGAGGATGTTGTTGCTGGAGAGGTCGCGGTGGATGATGCTGTTACCGTGCAGGTAGGCTAAGGCCTGAGCAATGTCGTGTGTGATGTTGACCTGGACGTGGTAGGGGAGGGAGGTCGTGGGTCGCTCCAGTAACCCGGTCAGGCTCTCGTCCATCAGCTCCATCAGGAGAATGGGTCTGCGGCTGCTGGGGTCCTGGACCACACCGAGGAACTGGACGATGCAGGGATGCTTTAGAGCTCGCAAGATGTCGCACTCCTGGTCGAAACGAGCGGCAAAGTCGGCAGCCCCTGGGTCGTCGTCTCGGAAGAAGACGGTGTGAAGGATCTTGGCGGCACAGGGGAGGTGGTCCAGAGTGGCCTTGACCACACTCCCATAGGAGCCTGTCCCCAGGACCTTGGATGTGTGTATGTGGACATTCTGGTAGCCAAACTGACCACCAAGGTGTACATGGACATCTGCTGATGTAGCCATGCAGCTTTAGATGAAGGGGAACCTGGCAACAAGGGATGAAGGGATATTTGTTTGTAATTTTCCGTTCAGGGAGGCATTTAGTTTCAGAGGTAAATGGCCGTACTCTACTTTAACCCTTATTCACCCAAAGTATGTACAAACACAATTTATCTTCACATTAAGGACAACTGCAAATATTTGCTGACAGCTAATAGATTGATGGATGTATAGATCACCATGAGCATAATAACATCTTGTCTAGTACTTCTTACACAGACAAAATAATTATGCTTCAGTACTACTTATGCAAAATGTAAGATCATAATTATTCAACAACTTGAGAATGAACTGTGAATTTACTTTCTGGTCAGAATGACAGCATTAAAATGCTTTGTCACTGTTGATAGAAAGGGGACAAAAGGTTTTGGAATTCACTATTTTGTGTCAACGGCCTGGATCAATGGAAAGGTGGGGATTTATGGTGAAGTGGTAAAAGAAGGGGAGTGCCCCTTGTTGATCTTCAAAAGGGAGGGATTTTCGTTGAAGGAAAGAGAGGAAATTTCATCCACTAATCGGTCTGCTCTCGTGGTGGCTAAAATGATAACACAGCAATAATAATTATAGATGACATATATTTATTCGGTTTGGTATACGATGACCGCAATACCTAATCCAAAGGGTTTTGATTACTATGATAGGTGAATCTGACTATTATTATTACGAGAAACCCGCATCACGTAAACATGACGCTGTGCAGTGCCGTGCCTGTCCACCATTTCAAATCTGACGACATTGGAGACTCGCTTCACTCGCGATGAAGGAAGTGGCGATTTTCCGTTGACGTTTACGTTCATTTTTGCTATTTGGGGGAACACCTGAGCAGATATCACTCCATAGTTACACGTGGCATATCTACAACAAAAACTTAGACCTTTAAAAAATTTGTCAGGTACCCCCTGTCCCCGTTCAAGTGTCAAAAAGGGAAGGGTTTTAGCAAGGAAAGTAAAGGAAACAAGGGGAATTTAATTTACCACAAATAATTGGTCTGCTCTCGTGATGGCAATGACAACACAGTCATAATCAAAGATGATGTGAATTTATTCATACAATAAATATAGGTTAGACGCGGAAGCGAGGTGTCTACGCTACATTGCAACCCGAGGGGCTGTGGAATGTTGGCGTCCCGAGCGCAGCGAGGGCTCTACCCATGTAACGTTGACACAGAGCTTCCGCGTCTAACCGGTTTAGACCGAAGTATCTGATTGGTGTTTGCGCGTTCAAATGGGTAGCAACAAGCTAGCAAGGCTGCGCTCATTCTTACTTTTGGATGGAGACGCTTTTTTTACGTGTGAGATTGTCCGACTCCGAGGAGACAGCCCCCGCCCCCCGTCAAAAATCGTTTACGTCATCATAAAACGCCCTCATTGGTGGTGCGCGTTTGAAAGGGTTAGCAACGCACGGCAACGGCCCAATGTGTTTGTGTATCGCCAGAGCTCGACGCTTTTTTCGTGGAATATTGACGTGATTTATGACTTTCGCGAGCTCCGGAGACTGGCCACAGACTTCTTGCAGGTGCACTACGCATTTTAAAAGAGCTACTTTGCCAGTCGCGCCTTCTACGCTTACCGAACGCGGAATCGGCCGGTTTGCGTAGATAACGACTTTTGAGAATAGTCATTTTGTACGGGGAGTTTGCTGTAGACCACCTGCAAACGCCATTACACACCTGAAAGGAGGTGTCTATGAAAAATAAACCCCCCCGCAATTCTGTAATCTGATTGGTCAATTGCGCGTGACTGCGGTCTAATGCTTATTATGACAGATGAAAAAGCACTAAATTGCAAAACATCTGCGAACTGCGCATGCGCTCGCGGAGTCTGACATGGGCTACCTACAGGAGTAGATAGCATGCGGGAGTTGGTACACACCGATCACGTTTTTACGTTCACTTCTGCTATTTGGGGGAACGCCTGAGCAGGCATCCAGAGGCGGATCCAGCATATTGTGATAACTGGGTTGTAAATATAAAATACTTGCGCATGCGCAGGTAGGGGCGCGGTTAGCGTATTATACGTACGTACGTAGCTAGCTAGCTAGCTACTCGGGTGCTTCTCTGTTTGGGATGTTGCACGCGTGAACTTTTTGGGGGCGCTGCTTGTCCTCTGGCGGTGCGCTAAACCTACATAATCATCTGGGGGGTGACAACGTGATTTTCACATCAGTGTCGGTCCAGTGCCGGGGGTTGCAACCCCCTCAACCCCCTCCCTGGATCCGTCATCACCCTGTAGCATGCGTACGTCTAGTTAGCTATGCATTCCCCACCATAGACAGTGTCAGCCTGATGCAAGTGCTTTAGGTCATGACAGCTACCGACCGCCTGCGGCCGCGCTATTTGTCCACGTTCAATAACGGAGTGATACGTAGTACGGTGACTGACTCAGTGACTCCAGAGTTCGCTGACTAGACTGCCACCACTGCCAGGCTCCGCAACAAAAAAATGGGTGTGGTTCTGCCTTGAAGCAATTACCCTGACGCGCTTGCACCCCGCCGAGGACCCACCGTTCGGTGGTATGCATCTTGAGCTAGCTATCTCTGTAGCTATTTACCTTGTATTTTCAGTTGACCAGTAATTCTGTCGGCGTTAGCCACGACCAACTAAGAGTCTCCCTGTTACTGAGTGAGTCAGCGTCTAAAGCGTATTCATGGTGCATTCTTCCTTTCCCACCCACTTTCCTAACGATAATTATTGGGTTAGCTGCAGACACTGTGTCGCGCCTATAAGAATGAATTGAGTTTGCAAAATTACAGGAATTTAAAGGACATGGATAGTTAGTGGAAGCAATTATGCACTCTATACAGTCGAACCTCGTTAATATGAACTCCAGGGAATGTTCATATATATTAAAATGAATTTCACTATAACAGTAACTAGTTGTATTAGTGTCATAATGCCTGGGGATTTCAAAGTGGTTCGTATTAAGCAGGTATTTCGCTTTAACAGTGTTCGTATTACGAGGTTCCACTGTAGCTGCTTAGTATTCTAGCTGTGTACAAATGTGTGTAAATATAAAGGCTCCGACACACATTCCAGGTCTGATGATGGAGGTTGAGTGTCAGACGTTCATCTTCTCCTTCGATCTCGTGTTGAGTGTTGAGTGTTGAGTGTCAGACGTTCATCTTCTCCTTCGATCTCGAGATGTGGAGCGACTCTTTCGCTTCCGTTCACGAGACCTGCTCCTTCGTCTGTCCCTCGAACGAGATCTCCGTCGTCCCCCGCGTTCCCGAGTCTTCTAGAGTTTTCTGTGACAAGAACAAAGTCACACTCACATAAATTTACAACAGCTACTAATCTAGTTTCACGCAAACAACTAGTAAAATGGATTAATTGAGTAAGGATACTTTCCTGACCTCTAGCTACACTTATATAGCAGTGGGTACCAGAGATCTCACCTGGTCTACGTTCTCTATACTGAGGACCCGAGCCATACCGAGTGACGAGCTGCCTGCTACTCTTGGGAGACCTCCGAGTCTTCTGAGACCAACCAGTCCACCACTACATGACGCCAGGAGCAGGCGCATCAGAGGAGTTTAGAACTGCAGAGTAGCGAGACTGCAAGCGCGGCGGAACACGCGCACATCAAATTCACTGCGCATGGGGTTAATTGTTAGAGTTTGGTTGCTAAGCGACGTTGCCATAGAAAGCGGCCTGAGGCAGGTGAGCATGAAGAAGAGAGAGAAGTCACCGTGTCAAGTGGAGTTCTCCGAGGAGAGAGTTGAACTGGTGAACGACGGCTGCCAGCAACAGAGGCACACCTACCAGCTGCAGAACCGCGGCCCAGGCTCCGTGAGGGTACGGGCGGCCATCGGAGCCGACAGCGACCCTGTGAGTACACCTTCTCCCAGGCTCCATAACACGGCCTTCAGGCGAAATAATGTCTATGTATTTATCATTTATGACTTTGTCTCGCTGTCAGAACTTGCATTCATTGCGTAAGAGCCTTTGGCTACTCTTATGGAAATCCCTTAGTTACAAACCTGTTTTCCGTGTTGTATGGTGCAGGTGTTTGTTCTGCTGAGTGGCGGCGAGGAGAAGTACGTGGCTCCAGGTCTGAAGCTGCCCGTGGTCCTCCAGTACTCTCCTAAGGGAGATGATGAGGCCTGCCATCATCGTGGCAGTCTGGAGGTGTTTGTCAACTCCAGTCTCTCTCTCACCATTCCCATCTCTGCGTTAGTTCACCTTTTGCTGCATTTTTCATTTTTTTTCATGTTGTACATGACACACTCAGACTTATTTATGAGTCTGTCTGCATGAGTTCACCATATATGCATGCTGTCTGCAATTTTCAATCCACACAATGTTTGAAAGTGCTCATTGATAGATAGCTAGAGAGATACTTTTTATTGAAAAACGCGTTGTCCTTCTTCGAAAAGCTCTGCTGTAGACTACTATTATTGTAAGTGGCAGTTATGCCGTTGCTGCTAATTGACCTTCGTTTAGTAAACTGTGATTTTATGAACTGCATTCCTCGCGAACCCTGCCCCGTGTGTCCTGCAGTGTTCCTCGGAGTCCCAGACTCCACCTGAGTGAGGAGGTGGTGGACGTGGGGTGTCTGGTGACAGAGAACCAGATCCACACCACCTCCTTCTCCCTCTCCAACCTCGGGACTTGCGAGGGAGACTTCTTCATCGACACCTCTCCTCTCCCTGGCTGGATCTCCCTCCAGCCCACCACTGGCCACCTACTGCCTCTACAGTCGACTAGAATACAGGTATGACAATACATCATGTGTAGTACACAAACATTATACGGAAAGAATACAGGGCTTCAGAAGTCTTAAAGAAACTAGCCAACCACGAGCTCAAAATTTTCTTTTTGCCTTTATTGTATAGTGTGAGCATCTGTATGTATGTTGTATTGCTTCTGCACTGTGCAGTGTTATGTTCCTCACGTTAATGATGCGTTTTTTTAATCACAGATGGAGATTTTGTGTAAGGAAGAAATTGAATTCTCCTATACTCTCAGGTTTGTATGCACAACTCCCTCTTCGATTCTACACAAAACTATTAAATAGTTACAATGTGCCTTCATATGCAAATTCTTACTGGGAGCAATCCTAATGGATGTACAGTATATACCAACAATGTACCCTCTCCCTCAGAATCATTACGTCAGCTCCACCCACTGCTGTTGACACTCCAGCTGCTAATACTGGTGGTGAGGCAGCTCCCTCTCTCCTCCTGACAGTGTGTGGGAGACTGGAGTCCAGAGTTCTCAGGGTCCTGGACCCTCTCTCCCTCTCCTCCCTCCCCTCCCTCTCCTTCCCACCCACCTACTACGACACAACTACCTCCAGGTTCTGTTTGTGGCATACTAGAGAATACAACACATTTTTGGGGAGCTAAAGTGAGCAGTTCAATATTTCAGGGGTGGTTTACGCATATTTAGAATCACTTAGTAGATCCTTATTAAGGTACTACGTGCAGTGCCCGTCACATTAGATTCCCGTATTCAGAACAATAGGTAGACTCACTTCGCTTGCCAATTAGCAATTAGGCCCTGTGCAGAGTGCATGTGATGGGTAACTGAGAAATTAAATACTTTGGCGTACAGCTTTCTGCTAAAGCATAAATATGTGACAAGCATTACTCTTTGCTAATAATGTAATTGCTGTGAAGCAATTGCTGAACTTTCTAAGGAGAGGGAATGTATATAATAAGTTGTCTCCCACTCACTCCAGACAAGTCATTCTGTTCAACGAGAGTCCAGTGTCCACTGACTACCTGTGTCTCCTGGACAAGAGAGCCCGAGGGAGTGAGGTGGGCGGGACAGAGGGTGTGGCCATGGCCCTCACAGAGGGAGGTCCCGGCCAGGGGAGGTGGAGGGAACAGGGCTCCACTCCTCCTCACGAGTCTATCGTATCTGTCCTTCCTTCTCAGGTACACCTACACATTGGCCAGTGAAACGAGCCCACTTGCACTATGCGTGTACCTGTATGTAGACCATACGTTCCATACTGTTTTAATGTTTTTGCTACATACATAAGTTTGTGTAATATCGATTCTGTACTCGCATTTTACCTTTTATAGCATGTATTGTAAGCCCACTCACTCCCTTTGCTGTTGAATGGCGAAAAAGTCACATCTGAAGTGACTCTATAACAATGTTGGCAATTATAGTATTAATAGTCTTCCCCTACTCACAGGGTACTCTGTTGCCTTATGAGAAGAGGAAATTGGAGCTGACCTTTGCACCCAGGTTCGTTTCCTCCGAAAGTGGGTGGAGCCATTTCCAAGCCACACCCACCAGACGTGACTACACACTCTACCTTCGCTTCCTTGCTGTTGACACCAACAGAGAGTCAACAGGTATGTACACCACATTCTACCTAATCTTGCTTTGTATTGTGAAAGGAAATGACTGCCATTATGTTCAGTGATTTTTGGGCCTATAATGGGCCCTTAAAAGTGTTTTACAGAACATACTGTGTGTAGTTGTGTTGTTTACTTTGCTTTGCTGAGACCTGATTGATGATTTAAGCTCTTTTAACTGTTGTACATATACTCACTATAATTATTGTTGATGAATTCTCCACTCCAGCTTCTGGAGGTGACCTTGAGGTGGCAGTGTGTGCAACTGCTCTACCGGTGGACGTGCAGCTGGAGCCCAGCCCTCCACTACAGTTTGGAGCCACTCCCACCATGTCCCCCACCACCCAGCATGTCAAGGTCTACTTACCATTAGTACATCTCTTTTCAGTCTCCCAGCTGGAAAAGAAACACTGCTTGTCACTACTCTAGCACACTTGGTGATGTCCTGTACACCGTTAATGTATCACTAATGATGTGTGCGGGACATGTGGCTTTCTGTGCCGCAAGGCCATTTCTATCTCTGCACTACGCAACATGGCCTGTAGGGGCAAGTGAACACCCAAGCAGTGTTTGTTCTGTGAGTCCTGTACACTGTTAATGCTAGCCCAAAACAGAGATGCCGCGGGACATTAGGGCTTTCTGTCCTTTCTATCTCCTGTCGGTAACACTATGCACATGGCGGTAGGGGCATACACATATGTAATGTGAAACCCAGCCTTTTTTATCAATCAGTCACTATCTTACACACTCGAGTCTACAGAGGGTGTGTCACGTCCATAGGCCTACACAACAAGTCAGACACACTCCTCTCTACTTCACCACGCACGTGTCCCTCACTACACCTTGTCACCCTCCGACTCCGGGGCACACCCACCCTCACACACCCTCCGCCCCTCTCCCTCACCTTCACCCCAACAGCAGCTCGGGTCCACTCAATGCCAGCAATGTGATAGTCATCGACCATTATGACCTCAGACTCCAGAGTATGTGTGGACGCACATACCTTATTAGTAAAACACGATCGTGCAGGTACATGTAGTCAGAAGGTTTAGGCAGGTTGCATTGTGTCTAGGATTTAGTATTATGAATGTGTTGTACTTACACTCCTTATACAATTGTGTATATTCCAACAGTATCGGGTATTTGCATTATAGCTTTTGGTGTGTGTTCTCAAGAGGAGTTTGTAGTTTGTGCTGAAATGTCTTTTTGAGATGATGCAGATGAATTTGTATGCTCGCTGACGCTTTTGCAGAGTGGTAAAGAAGGAGGAATAGTGAAGCACTGGTGTGGATCTGAGAGGACGAGGGAGGGAGGAAAGGCGGAGGGGGGATGAGGGGATCGGAAAATCGAAGAGGGCGTACCACCAGTAGCCCGCACGAACGAGTGGCGACGTAACATCCAACTACGCCCATCCTGATGAAATGGCCACAGTATGTAGACCTTTACGTCATTCGGATATCCTAAAGTCATTAAGTAATATGATACTACCTGCTACTGCCAGCAAGAAGACAAAAAGCTGTCAGGAGTGGGATGCGCCCCTGCCTACATGTAGTAGACTGAGTACCATGAACGCAGAGCCTTATTAGGACCGCTCGGCCGATCTGTGTAACTGATTGCATAGTGCATTTGTTCACAAGGCCAGTTAGGCCTTTCCCGTTCTGTTCTATGATAGACGCGTCTTTCTCTTTATGTGAATGGGCATTAATTAACAAATGCTATACTAAGAGCAAAAAAACGTTTACAATTTGAAACTTTTTTGACCCTACTGTGTGTTGTTTATACTTAAAACGGTGCTTTATTGGACACATTGATGTTGCACCACGCTCTTCAATACCACAGCCACTTATGCGCCAGCACTCCCTATACGTGGACCCACCGCTACACTTACCGTGGACAGAGAGACATGCTACAGTGACCGGCAGAGAGACGCGAGATCCAGTGGCACAGAGACCACTACCTTCACTACCTCAGACACTCTCAGGCTCTCCGACTGTGGAACAGGAGAGAAAGGTTTGTACTGTATTCAGATTGTACGAGTTTTCTATACTTACACATTAAAATAGGAGCCATGGTGTCTTCGGGTGCCTGTAAATTTTCCAAGAGTACTGTGCGCATATTATGTGAGGGTGTTACATATACAGGGTATAGTTTCACACCTGCCCATAGGTGTCCCAGACATGGTTCAAACGTCTTCCTAGTGCTGAAATTACAGTTCTGCAAGTGTGGTACGGAACAACCCACAGGAACTGTTTTTAATGTATCCCTGTACAGAAATGTGAGCGTGCAAGAGAGTGTTTGCGATATGGAACCTTTTGTCCTCACTCAGAGCTCTGGTAACAGCAGCCTGTGGACCAGAGAGGGAGCTGGGGCTGCTTCCTCTGAAAGCTCCCTCCAACTCCCCCACTGTCTCCAGTGATAGTTCTGCCAGGTGGAGGAAGAAGAGGAGAGGAAGAGGTGCTGGTAAACCTGGGATCATGACTACTGATGATGTCACCACTGCCACCTCTGTAGACCTGGTATGCAAACCAATGCAAGTAGCTGCACAAACAAGTTGACCAATGCAAAAATAGATGTAGCATTTGCTGTGTTTCTGATGATCTCTCTTTGGAGAATGCATATGCTACTCTGCTTGTGTTGCATCTTTCCTTTTCAGAGGGAGGTTGAGCAGTGTTCAACTACTGCTGAGAGTCAACAAGCGGCCAGTGAAGTCAATGCTGCCCTTTCTCCGTATCAGCTCTCTCTTATCACAATATGTGAGTATTACACATAATCTGTGCATGCTTTAAAAAAGGGTAAAAGTATGAATTGAACCAAAAAATGTAAAGAAAAAGATGTCAGGAGTGGGATTCGAACCCACGCCTACATGAGTAGACTGCGACCTGAACGCAGCGCCTTAGACCGCTCGGCCATCCTGACTACTTGTATCACCCCTCTGTTCCCTAACAGCCCCAGGAGTTCTGGACTATGGTGTGATTGCAGTCAGTTCAGTGGTGGAGAAGACTGTAACCATAAAGAACAGCTTGAACCAACACATCTGTTTCACTTTCAAGGTTTGACCATACAGTTTGCTTGCGTGTGTATTTACAAGTCCACAAAGATAGTGTCTAATAATAGGTGTTTCCTTTACAGCTTGCTGGGTCAGGAGTGAAGAGTCCACTGTTCCCTTCATCTTCATCCTCCTCCTCCTCTTCCTCTCATCTCGTCCTCCCTCCTCTGTCTTACACCAATCTCCCCTTCACCGTTCATCGTGACACAACTGGTCTCCTTGAAAGGTGATTCATTGCAACATCATAGAGTACACCACATTTATTCACCAAATTCCTCTTGTACATGCTCGTTAGCGTCTTGAACAATTGGTGTATGACATTGTACACATGCACAAACTGCTGCAGGTGTGTGGAATGTCTTGTGAATACCCGACATGTGGTTCGACTGCCGGTCCGTGTGGAGACAGTACCCCTCTCCCTCTCCCTCTCCACCAACACCCTCACCCTCTCACAACCTCCCGTT